AAGCTTCCGAGGAGTCCGCCCATGTGGCGGAGGTGACCGTCTCAAGCTCAGATAGCTCGGGGGGTGAAAGTATTCTGAACCCCCAATTAAGTCTTCAGAAGAGCAAGGAGGCTGCTTATCCGGAGGAGGTCATCGAGTGGGCTGATCTCAGTCCCGGTCAGCTCGGTGGCCGAGCTGCTACGCATGCCATGGTGGTGAGTTCTTCGCGAAGGGTTCTTCCCCTCTCCCTCACTTCTTTCTTTTCTTTTTCTTTTTTTTTAATGACCGATCTTGCCTTTGTGCAGGTGAACTCCGCCGTGCGTGCCTTGACCTTTCAGTCCGACCGGAACTTGAGACGGGCTATGGATGCCTAGAGGTCGTCCCGTGAAGCCCATACCGAACTGAGGGCAGCTCGGGGTCAAATCCACCGCCTTTAGAATGACGCCTCAGTTCAGAAGAGCTTTATTGAGGTGCTGTTGGCGGAGAAGAACGAGCTGGCCTGAGACAAGGACAAGCTGAGGGCCGAGGTAAACAGTTTCAAGGTCGGTCAGGAAGCATTGAGGCTGGAGGTAGATAGTCTCAAGGCAGACCGGGACAGCCTCAGGGCAGATCAGGATAAGCTTAGGGCAGGTTGGGACGCCCTAAAGCTTGAGTTGCAGGGCCTTAAAGAGGCCAAAGGAAAGTTAGAGCAAGAGGTGGAGTTCCTCCGAGCTTAGCGACAGATATTTTCAATTACTGTATTATTAAATATAGTATTTAGTAATTAACATTATTTTAATAATTAACAGTAATTTCAATAAATATAGTATTTAATTAACGGTATTTATTAAAAATAATGTATTTATTAATTAACGGTATTTTAATAATTAATGCATTAATTAATTAAGTATTTTAATTTACATTTTTAAAATAGTGACTACAACATTTTTTTTGTTGCAGACCGAACAATAGTGATGAGGCACTTAAAATGGTTTGACATTATTTTAATAATTTAGAATTTAATTGACTTTATCTTTTATGTAAACATTAATGAACGATATTAACTTTTTTTTTCTATGAATTATATTATTTATGATTATTTCTATAAATTATGCAATTGACTTTGTTTTAGACATTCTTATTATAGTTTATTTTAATTTTTTGGTGAAACGATTGGACCATTATTTTAATTCTTTTAATTTGTTTGTAAGTCTTAATTGTTTCATTCTTTACTAGCATCACACGGGTCTCGCTAGTACCATCCATAAATAATAAAAAATAATAATCACTTAAAAATGACTTTGTAAATGATAAAAAATATATAATAAAAATCATAAATAACAAAAAAAAAAAAAGAATTTGAAATGCATTATGTTTTCATAGAGCAATATATTTTAGTGGCGAAGTATCTAAGCTACCTTCTGCCCTAAATATCATCTCTGAAGTCTGAAGCAACATTGCAATTTGCAACAGCTGGGACCAAAAGAAGAGGTTTGGATCGGCCATCACCAACGAGTTTCCAGTTTCCACTGAGGTAAGTTGTTGATATGGCTTTTCTCTCCTCTACTATTTTCAATACAGTGAAGGGAAACAGGGAAAAAAGCCCTACTGAATCTCTGATAGCTTTGGAGACTTTCGAGTTCATGGGCAATTTCGCTGATAAGCTGCAGTCCGTAGAAAACCCACTTGGATTTTGAACCATATAAAATATTTTCGTCCACAGTCAAAATGAAAATTCCCTGTTCCCTGAAGCAGGGAAAAGTTATGATCCAATAGGAGCTTTTTTTTCCTAGAACGTTTTGAGAAAAAAAGGTGGGACTTTCGGCTCCTTCAGTTTCTGATAATGGCTGGAGACGTGTTATGTGGGAATTTGCAGTCAGTTTAATCTATTTATGCTCAAATTTTCAATATGTTGATTATTGGCACTGTTACATGGATATGCCATGGTTGAATTATGGTTAGCTAGAAGTGCAAGTTCAAATCACTGATATTGGCTGGAGTGAGATAGGATGCTAACGTGGTAATATATATATATATATTTTTTTCTGAAAATTCTGAAATGGGTATTCAATGGTAAAATCTACGGCTGAAAAGCGCAAGGATACCAGTTGGAGTTCTGGGTGCCTATTATAGCTTGTGATATCAGATTGTATGTTGAACTGAACAAGGGGCTGACACTCTGTTATTTCAGACGGATTGGTTTTGCAAGCATGTTCAATAATCCTAAAGGAGCTTTTGCAAATCACGTGAATTGAACGGTTTCGTTTTGGCAATTGGAGTGATAAAACCGTGGCATGAGATTATACTAAAATGACCCCCATTGCCAAGGACCCCTTAAAATGAACTTGTGATTCAAATGAATCCTTGCATACCATACGAACGGTCACAAACCTAATGGACCCACATCTGTTTTCCCATGTTATGGATCAAATTCTTCTGATATGTAGATTGGAAATTTGGAACTCATGTAGGTTATTAGATGAATCTGTAAAGGGTATCTTTAAGTATGCCTTCCATCTGGATTCCCAGAAGCTACAGGGAAATTGCCTTGGGAATCAACATGAAATGATAACTTACTTTCATATTTTTCTAATCCTTGAAATTTGCTCTTTACTCCACATTCCATTTGCTACTTCATCAGGGAACTTGATAAAGCTTTATTATGTTTCCATCCAATGGTATTATTTGAACCTTACCTTTTCTTTGCTTCAATGGTAGATAGCAGAACCAGGGACTGTATTGAGCAGTCCTACACCTGTGTCAATCTTCAGTTCTTCACAAGTAAGATACTTTCCGTTCTTCCAATAACCTGTTATTCCTTTTCTTTGCAAAGTGGGTGGCAAAGAGAACTGAATATTTTGCTCAATGATGATTGTTTTGCTTTTAAAGAAAAAGAGAACCAAGTTTTTTTTTTTTCTTAAATGATGGAAAGGATACTGGAGTGTGTATGGTTGTTTGTTTTTTTGTTTTCATATGCTTATTATTTGCAAAGATACCTTTGGCTGGGTGGGTAGCTTGGAGGGTCAAGTGTTTTCTTAATGATGGAATAGAGTTTACATCTGATTATGGCCATGAACTATTTAATCTTTGGATTGTGGGGGTAGAATTGGATTTAGTAGTGGTGTGGAACTTGGACAATGTGGAGTCTTATAAAGCTTCCTCTCTCAGGCATATGATGGATTCTCAATCAATTGAGGTTAAGGTGAGAGAAAGCAAATTGAGGCGGTGAGCTAGATAGATGCCAAGGAAAAAGGTTTACTGATTTGAAGGTGCTACTGTGCTACCAGTGAAGGAAAACAGCAGGACCACTTCTACTTTTAATGTTAATGGGTTGAAGTTGTAATGTAGAACTTCAACAAAATAAATAAGAAGAATTACAATAAAGAACAATTAAAAAATATGCACAATGAACTAAATAAGAAGCATATCAACTATTGCTATTAGTCTACTATATACTTGTCAGGTACATAGGATTCAATAGATCAACTTACAAAGAAGCCAAAATCAATCAGGGATATCTGGGAGAACCCCTACTTGACAAGGATTTTAAAAGTGTGAGACATTGTGAGATTGCTTTTACCATTGTGAGATGCTAATTTGATTAGAAAGATTGTTGAAGTATAAGCGAACTAAACAACCTAGGAAGAAGGTACTTTTATTTGGATGCATTAGACTTTTTTTTTTCTGACAAGTAAAAAAGAAAGTTTCATTAAAAGAAAAAAAAAGTACAATCTGGATAGGTGATAAGGTAGCACCTAAAGCACCGAGACTAAGCAGAACCGGAGCATCAAAATTTCCATATTACAATTTGAATTCCACCACCTCCCAGGGACAAACACCAAAAACTTCTCTCAGCACTGAGAGAAGCACTGGCAGAAATAAACTAACAGCATTAGAATTCATAATCTCAAGAAGTGGTAGTAAACATTTAATACTTGGAAATAATGATATTCATTAAAAAAAGTATTTGGAGATAGTGATGACTGTTTGTATGATGATGTAGAGCATGTTGTGAGCAATGTTTTAAAATGCAGAGGCATGATGTGAGGTGTTCAACTACTTGGAGGCGTGAGGTGTAAGCCTTTTGAAGAGGAGGAGTTCCTGTTTCTTTTGTATGAAAGATGTCTTGTATCAGAAAGAATGCCAACAAGACCCCTTAGCACAAGAAACCAAATTGGGCTGCATGAGAAAGGTGTTAGGGGGGGGGGTCTGGTAATCACCCAATAGAGGGCTTGTGCCACACAAACAAACCACAAAGTTGTCACTCATAGTGATAGAGATCAAACCAAAAATAAGTTCAGGCTCTTTTGATTTGTTTTCTCACCAAAAATAAGTTCGGAACAAAATTAAAAAGGAAAGGAAACTAGAAGAAGAGATTAGCCTTCTTTTGATCTTTTCTTTGGTAAGTAGCCTTCTTTAGATGAACTTGCATTCTATAGACCCTTTGGTCCACCTTATACATGGATCCTCCAATGAGAAAATGCCATGCCAGCCAAGAAAAGGAAATGAGACTTAATGGTTAAGCACTGCTCATCATCTTATCCGTCAAGCAGGAAACTGAGAGCAGTGGCATTCCCTTCCTGCTCTGCAGATGCGCTCTCCACAGGATGAATGTAGAGCTCGAGTTCTTCCTCTGTATTCTTCTTGAATGATCTATTTATTAGGAAAAAATAACAAAAGCCAAAATCAGCATAATTCCTAGAAAAAGTAACATTACGTAGAAATTAAAAGCAGCACAAACTAGTAAAATGGATCCTGTGTTTAGTGATAAATCAATGTTATCCAATAAAAAAGAAGTGGAGGGAATGGAAGACAATAAAAATTCCGTAAAAATCTAGAGAGAAATAGTAGCGAAGCCCCTGGAAGCTTTCACTCTGCATTCTCTTCGTGCACAGAAATATGCATGTAGTTAAAAAATTTGCAAGCTACCTGAGACTGAGATTCAAAGAAACCATATTCAGGGTCTAGATCTATAACTCACCAAACAGGGTCTGTTCCAAACCCTACTTTGGGCAGTAGATCTATAACTCATCGAACCAGGATGGAAGAAGGGAGAGAACATGATTGGTTGGAAAACTTTAAGACTGATGTGGAAAAATTTGTTTGGTTTGTCCACATTAAAGGTATGCGAGTTCTCTTTAGATCAGTTCACAGCTTCCCAAGTGCTATGATATCATGAAAGAATGAAAGAAGTAGAGGACAGAAGAAGAGAAGAAGAACCCCAATTGGGGATTTGGGGTGAAAACCTCTTATACTCTGTACCAGTCAGCTGCTGTATATAGCTTTCTAAATATATTACAATGACTCTTATACCCCTATTTAAGCATGGAACATCCTACTTAACACAGGACAGAATAGACATATAAAACATAGATGCAGGGACATAAGTGCTGCTCTCAACTTGGCTGTTTACAGCATGTACAGTGCACACACACACACACACACACACACACACACAAACACACTATCCATGTGTATGTTTCTGTATAGATCTTCATCTCTCCATCCTTGGGTAGCTTGAACAGGTATATCTTTCTATTTTTAGATTTATTTTTCTGGCCCTTGTATTTGCAATTTTGCAGAAGTTGCAGACCTTAATCTTAAGCTTAAATTAGATGGATTTGTAGAATGGTTTTTCATGAGTGGGGAGATGATGTAAATTTGCTTGATGGGGAATGCTGGAATTAGTCATGCTATGGAAGATGAGGGTTTCTGTTTTCCTGGTGCCATAATGAGGGATTAAAGTCCTTTGAGAGGTTGATATTTTGATGTTGTGGATGAAAAGTGACCAATTGTTGTTTGTTGGTAGTTTAACAAGTTTCAGGTAGTCAGATTCTTGTAGGCTCCATGAGGTAGATAAGAATCACTTTCTACAAACTGTGATTCAATTTAAATCATGAAAACATGAGGATGCACATTCTTTTTTCTTTTTTGATTTCTAGGATGCATATTCTTATCTATTTTTTAATTTAATGTGTTTGATTTCAATAGGCTCATCTTATATGTGGTTCTAAGTTCTAACAATTATGAATTTCATGAGTATATGAACTGGTAACTACAGGAAGACACTGTAAATGATAAACAAATAAATACTTAATGCTTATAAAGAAAAAAGAAAAGAAATAACATTCTTTATCATTTTTAGGTACATAAATGGATGATGAGGAGATTGTCAAGGGAGACAAGCTTATACTGAGGGGTTTGAAGCTACATGGATTTCATGGGGTGAAACCAGAAGAGAGGAAGTTGGGTCAGAAGTTCTTGGTAGATGTTGATGCTTGGCTGGATCTCCGTGAAGCTGGTAAATCTGACAATTTGGCTGACTCAGTCAGTTACACTGACATTTATCGGTAAGTAGTGCAAAGTTTCAATTACTAGTATAATTTCAGGTATACTAGTCTCATGAATATGACATATCTCCATTAGTTTGGAGGGCCAAAGCACATATTTAGTGTCTCCTCGTCCAGAGTATACTTTTTGAAACCAAAATCAGCATGTATAAAAGGGCTATTACCCAATGTCAGTCCCAGCCATCTGGGGTCTTGGGAGGGGTAGACTGGATATGGTTCTAGGCTCCTAGCCTTTTGCATTTTTTTGCAGGAAGTGGTTGCTCTCAGGCTTGAACCTGCATTCTCATGCCTGCCAATCCAAAATATTACTATTACACCAAGTAATGGCCCCTCAAAATCAGCATGTATTATCAAGAATATATCTCTGGCCATCTGACTAGAACTCTGCTCTGTAGTTTTAGAGCCAGAAAATGATGAGTAAAAGTTCATTGGCATGCCTACTTTGCAAATATGTTTTTTGTTGCCCAAATGGCCTCTATGCACTTCTTTAGTTGATACAATATATTGGCCTAATTATACTTGTGCTGAGCATGATGAGTCCTGATTCAGTCTAAGTTAGCTTGGTGTTGGCCTTGACAGATCTCAAAACAGAGAGAAGCCTTATTATTCCAGTAAAGAGCACTAAATTATTCATGCTAGAATTTTTTGTTACTTACTTAATTGAAGTTCACTTCAGTTCCAAATCAAGTCTCCCACGTCCAAAGAACCACTGTGCATGTTGTAGAGAATGAATTGAAGTTAATTGGAATCTGCAGCCCCCATGCCTTGTACTGTCAGTTAGGGACTGTTTTTAAGGAGGTTGATCACTCGGTTTACTCAATTGTTGTAAATGTACATAAATAGAATTAATAACAAAATATATTATATACCCCGGAACTGCCATGCTAATTGATCACATATTCACATTCACCATTTCTGGTTCATACATGTATCGGTTACTGTATTACATAGATGAATATAATAACTGTATGTCTATGAATTTATGCACCCAGATGCTGATATACCCCAATGGCTTTGCTCTGCATGGAATTGCAGGATAGTTAGGGATATCGTGGAGGGGCCGCCTCAGAATCTTCTCGAGTCTGTGGCTCACCTCATTGCAACTACTACATTAACAAGATTTCCTCAGATATCAGCTGTGCGTGTGAAAGTTGGGAAACCTCATGTTGCTGTTCAGGGGCCCGTTGATTACTTGGGAGTCGAGATTCTTAGATACAGAAAATCTGATGTTCAATAATGGGAGTCTGTTTGAATTTGATAAATATGGTTGCTCTCTTTTTGGTTGAATGGTAACTAACGCCAAAAAAATGATGATTGGTTTGAAGCCTGTGAATCAAATTTAGATTCTTAATTTAATTTAAGTGTGATCTCAACATTGACCTACCGAGCTACAAGCCTTGAGCAGCCTTGAGGCCAAACTGTGCTTGTGCCTATTACAAAGCACATGAGATGAGAATTGAGAGTATACATGATCAAGCCCCAGGACTGCTTATTGGATAAATAAGTGCTTATCCTATAAGTATTCATGAGTGTTTGGTGAAAAAGTAATTCTTTCAAACAGGGGTAGTATAGGCATTTGAAAATTATGTCGTGGGCCAAAATAGGCCAGAAACCCAATAAGAACTTTTTCGAAAAACAGAAATTTTCAACTTACTTAAACTGGTCTTATTTCTTGATAAAGTGTTTATTCCGACCTATTTCCCAAGTGCATATTGATGTGATATTGGCCTGAAATGAGTGCTTAAAATTAAGCACTGACATATGGGAGCCTATGTAGTTTTCAGATGAATGCTGATAGCCTGATAGAGTACCGAGAGATGAAAATAAATGTACTAAAATTTATACGGTGGTCCGGACATGAAGCCAAGGCAAGTACTGGTCTCTCTCTCTCTCTCTATATATATATAGATAGTCCCCCTCATTCAGACATGTGACGTTCTAATTTTTTAGAAAAGAGGATCTCTCAAAAGTGGTTAATTTTGCGACGTGATACAATCCATTGTAAATAATTAATTATTGTTTTGAACTCATGGATGCCAGACTGCCACTGAACTCCACTAGGCACCACATAACAAGTTCAAATCTGCTCAGAGTGTCCCTCACTGTAATTATAAATTTTATTCATGGGGAGATGTTTTCAATGCATGGCTCAAACGTGCTGTGAGGTCAGTGTGAGACACTCCACGAGGAGCAGATCCAAACTCCCATATGACACACCCAAAGTGGAAAAACCCTTTTGCTGGGAGAACACTTTTTGAAGCTTTGTCTACCATTCTATGCCAATATGGCAGTGCTATGGGTGCAACTTGGGTGAGAGTTGGGGAATTGTTAAAATTTCAATTAAGCCTGGCCCGAAGCCTGAGCCTGATGCAATGTAAACTCTTCAAATCAGGTACGGGATTTGCACCCCTAGGTATACTTGTACTTAATTTTGCTCAACCAAACAGGATTTCTGGAAGGTAAAGACAAATGCTTGCCTATGTTTCACCTAGCTGGACGTTGACTACAAATACAATGGAAACACAAACGCAACCATCCCAAACAATGATGATATATTTTGATTGGCCTGAAATAGATATATATAGTCGTAGCTAAATACTTCGGTTGGCATCTCCATTACTAAGTTATGTTCAATGTTTTGCAAAATGTTAAATGGAACTGTTTTTTCCTCTTGATGGAAGTTCAGTGGTTCAATTGTTTGCCAAATGGGTCATTGTATTTCTAATATTATATATTTATCATAGTAAACAATATATATATATATATATATATATATATATATATATAATTTAAGGTAGTTATCATATGCAAATTTATAAATTTTAAGTATTAAAATAATTGTTCTATTATTAATATTTTTATATAAACTTATTGACATTAAAAACCAATTTTTCTAGATTATTCATTCCATTAGTTTATAAAGTATTAATTTTAATTATTATTCATTTTAATTTTTATTTGGAGTTGTTGAACATAAATAGATGTATTTATTTAAATTGTATGTGGACACAAAATTAATAAAAGTTAGTATATTTCATTTATTGTCACAAGAAGCAAGCTAGTTTAGTAGTTGAATGTTACATTTAAAGCTTGGTCATGAAATTAACTTGATGCGTATCTGTAGAGTTACTAATATCAAAATAACATGTGCAAGTTTCAACTTTCTAACCATCCTATCAACTTTTTCTTATTAATATTACATCAACCAAAAGATTAGAAATAAGATAATTAATTGATCATCTAGATTTAGACTGTGTTTTAATTCTTGCTACTATTTCCCGACATTTTCTTAGCATATTTCAGGCTTCAGCAGTTCACACTTCATGTGCGTTACTGTATACCTTATTTATGGTCATTTGAGATTTGAATTTAGTTACATTGATTGTATTTTTCAATTTATTTGATTTTTCCTAATATATCCATTCATATCTTAATTTTTTCCACTTTATTCATATGCACCAAAACATATCCTTGTCCCTTAAAACTACCTGTGTTTCTGATACGTTGAACTTTGATTGGAACTAGGAACCAACAATGTATATATCATACATGAACCGAAACATTGTTCATATATTCAAGCAATTCCGGTCACTGGGCATCTTCACAGCTCCAAGGCAGTTTTGTTTCCCTAAGACCTAGGAGCCTGAGTGCCCAATGGAGAAAAAGGTAGAATGGTTTCAGTTCTTATTTGACTTATAATATCAAAACTAATTCTAGTTAAGTCTAATATCCTTTCTGGGTCTCCAAATTCCGAAAGGGATATTTGCAGCACGGCCTACATGATTGAATGGTATAAGCAACTTCCAGGTTACCAGCCACCGAATGGCAGCTTTACAATTACACAGTCAAGAGAGAAAATATGAATTGGAATGCTTGAGATCATCTCGAATTTGTATGATCTGGATCATCAACAGTTTGAACTCAGACATAAGAAGCAATAGATATGGTAATATAATATTATTTTCATGTGTGTCATGAAGTATAATTAGTTAGGCATCTCCAGTTCTCTACAATTTAAGTACAGAAAATGAGGTTTGGAGAGGGGGGGGGAGGTTGAAAATATCTATTCTCCTAACTCAGCTTAGATGTGATCTGAATGTGCTTACACCTGCATTATATACATATACACTAATGTAATATGATGATAGGAAGTGGATAAGATACACATTGCAACAAATACCTAAAATTAAACAAAACCTGGTCATCTCCATGCAGAAGAAACTATCAACATTTTGTCCTCCCATCCAAAGTGGAGTGCTCCTTCCTCTTTCTTCACTGTGTACCTATCACAGTATTGCTTTAGAAGTTTCTGGACTGTCTCATTGACATATGCACTTAGGGGACATGATGTGAATCCAGCCATCATCATCCTGGCCCTCCATTTCCCTGCAACCTCATACCTTTCAATCCTATCTTCGCCTTCACATGCCACAATGTTGACTATATCTCGTGCTAGACACTGCCTTTCAACATTCATTCTATCTGGGCTCTCCCTTGGCAGTGTTGCATCAAGTGAGTTAAACACAGCTGTGTAGTAGTTGTATGCCTCAATAAACCTTGGAAAGAAAGGGGCAGTATTAGCATTCATGTCTTGCTCGATCACTGTTACTAGCTTTGGATTTAAACTCTTGACCATACGGAGGAGCTGATCCCTCTGGTTTACTGTTGAGACACTCTCATCAGGCATGTGGTGGAGCTGAAAGGAAAAGTTGACAATGACAGCTTCACCAGGTTGGCAATCCAGCTTAGATGGGGTAACATCTGCAGTTTTTGCTGCTAATGCTCGGAATTCAAAAGGTAATTTGACTGCCTCTGCAAGATTCTCAAGTCTTTGTCCAATGACCTTCAAGCCACCAACTGCACGTTGCACAGACTCTGGGTCATCAACCACTGTTATCTTAATGTTTTGTGGTTTGCTTGGTTGAATTGCAAGAGCTTGTAGCAGCTGTATGTACTGGGTCCCTTGGTTTATGTCGAAGTCAATAATATGGACCCTTCTTTCATCCTTGATTGCTTCTGCTATTGCAGTATTTGCTGCCATCACTCCAAACTTGAAATAAGGGCAAACTTCAAAGAGGACTTGCATGGCTGATAACCGGTCAGAGGAGGGTGGCTCCTTGCATTTTAGAGCCTTATAGAGTCCTTTTCCTGATGCAGCCATACGTGCTGCAAGGCCTTCTACCATATATGCTGCTATCCTCTGGGAAGGATCTCCTTGGATTGAGACCACCCGACGAAGTTCAGTTATCATGGCTGATGCTTCCTCCATGTTGCCTTCTGAAATTGCAACAGCACAATCAAAAAGCAACTGCTTAGGCGTTGGGGTTCTAGAAGAGTGTGGGGGGCAGATAGGAGGTATCATGGGCATCTCTGGCACCTTCTTATTGCTGCTAGTGCCACTGAGATTAGAGTCTGAGGATGAAGATTCCTTTGGTGAATTGATGAATAATAAATCCTTTATGGGGTCGGTCCATTCACCATCAATATCCATGTTTTGGTCCATACCAAACACATCATCATCATCATCATTATCATTAAGGAGTGCATTCTCCAGTTCTTGAAGCTTTAACCTAACCTCATCATCATCATAGTCTAGTGTTCCATTATCTGGGTTCTGATCATCCAAGTATCCTGACAAACAATAAGATTGATAGGCAACAGGATGTCTCATGGCTGTGAAAGAGTTAACTGAGTTTTGTGTGCTAACTAAAGCACTTGAGGTAGTCACAATCTGGTAAGAGGAGCCACCTTGAGTGTAGAAAATAGTTCCTGGAATGGCAGACTTAGCTGGGCAGAGGAACTCCATTTGTGATTTAGGAAATTCTTCTGTAGGAGGGTCAAACTGTCAGAGAGGTTTCGTTGGTTGTTACTCTCAAAGGAGTAAGAGTTAGCTCTATATTTGAACTGAATATCTGAAGTGATAAACTGGACTTGCCACTGCTACCTTTAAGCTTGTAGAGTTTTGATTTGTTATATGAAGTAGCAGATGGATCTATACAACCTAACTAAAGTGTATTCTTATAAACCAATGGAAGTTATGGATAAATGATTTTTGAACCAAAAACAATCTGAGTGTGTTATCACCAAGTGTCGCATGTCCAATGGGCATTAACTGATTATAATTATTGAATGCAGAAAGAATCAAATAGGTCTCTCTCTATCTCTTCAAGTTGGATTATTGCAAGTCTATAGCAATGACTGTGTATCACATAGAAATCCTTTGAAGCTGCTAGAAAACCTGGACCAAACACAAGGAATGGGAAAAATTGATGGCTCAGCAGCTTATAGTAGTAAAGCATGTATAAAACATAGATAGAAACATCAATTCCACAGTTCACAAACATAACATGTAAGAAAGAATATAGCTATATTAGTCTTCATTTGGAGATTTACAGTGGCACTAAACTTCAGGTAAACAAAAGTGCTCATACTCAGTGATTTGTTCTGTTTCTTCAGTCCAGGTCAAAATGGTACATACTGGGCATCTATCCTATGCTACGTGAAAGACTAAAATTGATGAAAGTTTTGGTCATTTTTCAATTGTAATTCATCATTTCCTATTTTCATCAATCTTCCTCCTGCCATAATGAGTCCTTGAATTGTAAGCTTTTTCTTAAATAATTGCCTCTTCTGCAACTTGTAGCTAGCCAATTTTCCCCAACCTAACTATGGCTACTAATATCTCTCTCACTAGCATTGCCATTGCTCCAGATCTGCAATGATCTTCTTCTCTGTCATGATTATGACCTCTTTTCTCTTCATTATAAAATTTTGCTTTAGGATATAGGGGTACTGCTCCTAGATACTTTCTATGTTTCTCCAAGTGTTAACATATGTTGACAGGAAACATTTGCCGAAACAAGTTATATACAGTAAAACATGTCCTTGTACACAGTTCTAAAATATGCATAAATACACAATTCACAAAGTTTGTACTATGTACTCCATTAAATTGATCTATAAAATCAATCATATGATCTGAAAGGTACAGAAATAATGTTGACCTGGTGTCTTATGATTTGTTTCATAACAAGACAAATCTTTAATGTTCCTGTAACCTTAGAAGCTACTTCTTGCTATTGTGAGCAAAGATGACAAACCACTCATCCAATCTTGTTGGGTAAATTAGATGCAATTTAGTAGAGCCAAATTTAATGCAATAGATGAAGGTATCAGCTGGCTGAGCTGGTAAAGTCGGTAGATATAGTTCCCATTTCCCACTGACCTGGAATCAAATCCTGCCTTTACCCTTCCCACCCCTCCCCCTTCCCAAGTTGCCTAGGATAAAAAAAAAAAAAAAGTAAGGAGAAGAAAAAAAAACAAATTAAGGCAACAGACGGGAAGGATATTCGATTTTCCAATAATAAGAAAATTACACACACACAACAGGGGGTAGCCTTCCCCTAAACCCCTAGACTCCCACAACCCAAGTGAAGGTGAGACTCGATCCCAGGTCTCCGCTATTATCAACTAGAGACTTTACCAGCAGGCTTTCTGGCACCTTCATGTAGAACAGGATTCATGTAATTTATCGCATAAGGCTTAGATAATGATCGTGAAATATTTTTTTTTTAATTTTGTTACAATTTACAAAGGTTACTATTTTTACTTTATGCAACACAGGATAATCGAAGTTTTTTTTTTCTCTTTTGAAATATCATATTTCTCATGTAGCAAGCGAGTTCCATTAAAAAGCATATCAATCAAGATTACAGTTTCTACCGTTCCAATTCATTTGGCCAAAACACGAATATTGTTTTGAGATACTACATTTAACTTTTTCAACTGACTTAGGTTGTCCTAGGCATTCATAACCAGGCAGCCCTCAAAGTAAAGAAATTTCTAACTGAAAGAAAGAAGCAACTAAATATTAAGAAAGTGTAAATATCTAACTGATTTTGTTACAGAGGGAAAAATTTCCCTAAACCACATGAGTCAATAAACAGACCATAATTGCTGTGAAATAAAGGAAAAAGCATTCCTTTCTAGTAGAACTAAATATGCAAATTTAAGGAGAATATAAGGATAACGAGAAAGGACGCAATCAGGCGCCGGTAAGAAAGTTGTCCAGAAGTGAATCAATATCCCCATAGTAATTTACGAATTAGAAGAAATTTGAAAAACAAAGAATGAAAAGAAAGCAGAAGAAGAGAACGTTAATTGAGAACAAGTCAACTAATCAAAATAAGCAAAAATATTAAAGCTACTCCAAAGATACCGTGGTAGATTACCTGGTGAAGAAGGCGGGCATCAAGAGGCAGGAGAGAACACATCAGCAATCTAATTCTGAATTTCAGAGATACCCAGATGGAGAGAAACAACAAAAGAAAGGAAGAAGGAACAGAAGCTTGGAATAAGCCAGAAGTTAAAGCTTCAAGGCGCTTTTATGGGATCTTCACATTAAAAAATTGCAGATTTGAGAGGTTTGGTTGGTAAAAAGCAACAAAGAATAGAAGAGAACAAATGGGTAAGATGAATAACAAAGATTAAGAAATCAAAACGGCCAAATAAAGAAGTGAAGAAAATATGGGAGAAGGTGTTCACCAAAACTCTCATTCAAAGAGTTGTGAGCTTCATTTCCATTTGTTTCTTGTTTTTCTTGACTCTCTACAGTCTACACACGTTTTGCTTTTTCTGTTTTTCCCTCCAAAATTCCTTAGTCTTTAAGCATTACAAATCAATCCAAACCGTTCATCTGATCAGACATCCCCATCTGATGGATCTGTTAGGGCACGTGTATGGTGATTATTGAAGGCATAATCATGTGTACATAATGCCAAACAATTGAAAGTCAGCGAGTTACACGAAAGGAAAGGCCGTTTTTTATCTCAACGCGCATGCGTAAGCTCTAAGAAGTATGAACTATATTCAACTCCCTCTGGGTTGGAAAGACGAATCTAACCTTGATAATTGTTGGTAAGTGTGGATAGGGCTGTTCATAAGAATGCCCAACCCGACCAAATCGATCAATCCGGATTGACCCAACCCGAGTTGGCTGGGTTGGGCAAATATATAAATCGATATATCGGGTTGGTTTCGATTTGACCCGAACCGAACTAATAGAAGTAATTCCTAGTTTGAGTAGTTTCCTACTTAACTATAACTAGTCTTCTACTAGAACTAGAAGGCCCATTAAACAATTACAATTAGAATAGGCAATCTATCATAGTTTCTAACTTTAATAGGCAACTCATTAGGCAATTACAATTAGAATTCAATTAGGTGTCCTTTTGTACAGGAGCAAAACCGAAACCGACCCAATCTGACTCAAATCGACCAGGTTGGTTTGGCCTATCAATAGGTCGGTTTCAGTTTCCACCTCAGGTAATCCGATCAGATCGAGTCGGTTGGGAAAACCCCAATAAACCGACCTAACCCGACCCGTGAACACCCCTAAGTGTAGATATACCTAACAAAGTCGATTTATATGAGACATGGCATGGGATGGGATGGGATGGGAATTGAAATCATGGGACGAGGAATTAGTGACTTGATCCAAGGTGCTCACTGCTCTTATTTATTAAACAAAAGAAGGTTTAGGTAAAAGTAAATGACTTTTTTGCCCTTCGTGCTATTTTAAGGTTCCGTTTGGTCTATGGGATGGGAACGGAAAATGTGGAATATCCCTCCCTTCCCATGTCTTCCCATGTTTGATTTGTGGGATGTCATGAGATGGGATGGGAAAAAGGTGGAAATATAAATCCCAATTCTTGGTATATAGGGTCTCACCATTTTGATGGGAAACAAGTGAAAATGTAGGGGGAAATTATTTAACAAAAAGAAAACACCTTCCTTCTAGTATTTCTTTTTTTTTTTGGTATTATTCCTTGTAGTATTTTTTAATACTGCATTTGACTTTCCTTATTTTGAGAACTTATCTCTCTTTTGCTGTTAACAACTTAAGCAGCGTTTGGAAGAGGTGTAAATACAAAACTATAATGATGTAAAAGAAAAACGGTCAGATATGTCAACGCAAAAGATGAACCGGATAGATGTTAATTTTACACTGTTGTGTGTTTGGAAGAAAAATGTAAAACGTGAAAGTATTTTCTACATGCTTCTGGAATTAACATGGGTGTAAAACTACACCCGATAACTGTCTGTTGGTACAAATTTCACAGAAGAGGAACAGGAAGAGGCCTCAGAAGCTTGGGGAGCTTTACCAATGCTGTTATTGAAGTCCAAATCTAGGGCATCAAAGTCACGATCAACTTCACCAGCACCATTGTTGTAGGTCCAGAGAAGACCTTCATAGGAGAGACCATTTTTGCTGTAAATGAAGTCCTCGTAGGCTCTGAAGACCTCGACAAGGATTGCATTGATTTGCTCAGTTAACCCTAGGGTTTTCAGCGACAATGAGATACATCATTTCTTGCCTATTGGGACCACCACCTTTATTCATATCGAATTGCCTATTAGGACTTCCTCATAGGCTCTGGTACCCCTTGAATCCATTTTAGGTGTTTTTCTTCCTGTTGGTTTGAGCTCCATATTCTTGACAATAATAGCGAAGAGAAGATGAAGAAAGATTTATGGATTTTTCGTTTTCCGGGAGGGAAAAGTTTCAAGTTTCAACTCGAAATGGATCAGTAAGAGGAGAAAAAGAAGAGGTGGAGCTGGCGACGGCTTTGCTTTCCCTCTTTTTACTTTTGAGAGGGTTCGATCTACAGAGAAGAGAGAAGGAGTGGAAGAGAAAAGAGGGTCGCATGGAGTCGGAAACGATGACGGAAACAGGAAACTTGATGGTGGAAGATGCTGGCGAAAGAAGTTCGATGGTGATAGTGCAGGTCCTGCAGGAGGAAGAGAGTTGTTGCTTTTGACACCGATGGGCAGTTCGATCGAGTTTTACATAAAAAAATCGATGTAAACATCTTTCAAAATAAAGTTTTACACCGGTCTTTGATGTTCTTTTTACATCCCAACCAAACACATACAAAAGTGGACCACAGTGTAAAACTACACCGAATCGGGATTTACACCTCTTCCAAACGCAGCCTTAGTGTTTACAGGGGCATTTTAACTAAAAAATGAGATAAGTACTTAGAATAACAAATGCCAAATGTAGTCTAAGATTTAATACTAGATCCATGATACGTATATAAATTATTAATTTAAAAACATATTAATAAAATAATTTGTTTAAAACAATTAATAGTAAATTAAAATAAATAAATAATTTAATAATTAATTATTTTTTTAGAATAGAAAATAAAATTATAATTAAGTCATAAGTATTAATAAAATAAAATATAAACTAATAAGAATTAAAATAGTAATTAATGTTAATAATTAATTAACAATAAAATAATAAATCATAAAATTATTATTAGTTAAGTAATAATTAATAGTAAAATATTTAATAACTAATTAAATAATAATTTTATAATGAATAATTTCATTAAAATTAATTAAAAGAAATAATTTATCAATGAAAAATAGTTTGATAATTTATGAATAATTAATTTTCAAATATTAAAATTATTAATTAATCATGGGTATTAATAAAATATAATATTAATAATAACTTATAAACTAATAAATATAAAAATATTTAATTAACTAATTATGGATTTTAAATAATTAATATCTAATTAATAATAAAGTACTAAATAATAAAATGTATTGATAAATGATTAATAATTAGTAAAAAATAGTTAATAATTAATTAGCTAAGTAATAAATAAATAAATAAGGATTTTATTATTAATCTAATTAATTATTCAATCAAAGTAATTAATAATAAAAATAAAATTATTAATTAATTCATAGTAAACATCAATAAAATATATTTTAAAATATTAATTTGATAATTATCAATATTAATTGATTATAGAATTATTTTATTAAAATATTAATAATTAATAATTATGAAATAATAAATAATAAAAATATTAGTAATTAATTAATTAATTAAAAATTGTTACTAGGGTAGATTTTCCCACTATTTTACCTTTTGCGACCAAATAATGGAACATGAAAAATTTCCACCTATTTTCCCTTTCCCATCCCATCCCACCAAAATCTTCCCACAAATCAAACATGACCTAATATTAAAATGACAACAATAAGGGTAAATAATGCAAATTGTAATGTTGTATATTAGGAAAAATCTATGATACCGGAAGTCCAGAAAGACATGGAATTAGAAGAGATTTCACCAATATAAGAACCCTTGTGAATTTGATGAATTACCACTAGACATGTTCATGGGTTGGGTAGCCTGACGGGCCGGCCTAGCCTGACCCAATCTAGGTCGGGCTTGGACAAGATATCAGGCCCGTGGGCTCGGGCTCGAGTTGAAAACATCGGGCTCTAATATAATATAATATAATATATTTTTTCTTTTTTATTCTTATCTTTTTTCAAGTAATAGTGAGATCTTTCGTTATTTTTAAGGTTTTGAGGTCTTTTAATATAAATAAAATAGTTTTTATTGAATAAGAAAAGAAAAAAAAAATCTTTTTCCAATTTTCTGGTCGCACTCGGGCTTGGGCCCAATCTTTGGGCTTTATATAAGGGCAGGGCCGAGCTCAGGCCTGGGTATATTTTGTTAATACAGAGACAAAGCCTAGCCCGAACCCGGCCCATGAAAAGGTCTAATTACCATATGATTGGGCACCTCTTTTATGATACCAGTTGATTGGTTGTAAATTTATCTGATATGTTGTCTTTTTGCTATCATAGTTGAACCCGATATATTATTCAATCCTAATCAGTTTTAACTTTGAGGAAAATCTATGATACGGAAATACATGGTATAGGAAGAGCTTTTACTTGGAGTTGTTGAATATATTATTTGTTTAGATTAAATGTAAGAATTAATTTTAATAGAAGATAATTTATTTCACTTATTATCACGAAATAGAAGGTGGCTTGATGGTTAAGATCCTTGCACTCCTGGATGCTAGGCGACCAGGGTTTTAGGGTGCCAATCGTGGCGTATCTCGTATCCTCCCCTACCGTAGTGTCGATATTTTAATCCTTTCTCCTCACCCATTGTATCCTCAAGTTGATACTTCTAGTGACCCATTGGAATTTTTTCATTCCCTAAAGCCTCAAATTATTAAATAATGAAAGTAAATTATCATTTCATGTTAATTCCCAAGGAAATTTCCCTATAGATTTTGGGAATCCAAATTGAAGGTAAAATGGGATTCTGGCCTTCTGGGAATTCCTCTAGATTCCGTTGGGGTATTAAATGCATTGGAGAGAAGTATCATTTAGTAAAATGGGATTGGGTATAATAGGGATAAAAAGGATGGAGGATTGGGGATCAGAAGAGTGAAGCTTTTCAATAAGAAAATTTTGGGTAAATGGCTTTGGAGGTTTGGGGTTGAAAGGGATGCTCTTAGGAGAAGGATGGATGTGTGCAAGTACAGGGTGGTGGATTTTGGGTAGACTTCAAAGGAGGTCAAAGTTTGTTCATATTAGGTATGCATTGGGAAAGGGATTATGAGTTTTCAATCAGCCTTCTTGAACTATGTTTCCTTTAAGGTTGGAGATGGATCATCCATAAAGTTTTGGGAAGATGATTGGGAAGGGATTGGTAGATTTTGTGACTATTGCCTCGGCTCTACAATTTAAGTAGGAAAAATGAATCTATTGCAAATTGCTTTCAAATGATACAAGTAAGGCTAGTGTGGAGTCCAAAATTCAAAGACCTTTGTTTGATTGGGAAGATGAGGAATGTGCGGAGTTGTTGTCAAAGTTGCAACCGGTAAAGTTACAAACTTGAGAGAACATACGCCACATGGTGGAAGGAGTCCAAGAATGGGCTTTTCTCTGTGAAGTCTTTTTTACAATGCCCTTGCAAGAAATTAAGTAGAGAAGTTGGAGGTGAAAGGAGTGTGGGGAAACCCAATTCCCCCTAGAGTGGAGGGCTTTGCATGGATAGTTGCATTGGATAGCATTCTTACACAGGACCGTATCCAAAGTAGAGTCCAGATTGATGGAAGATGTTATTTATGCATGCTCTGAAGAGAATGTGATGCATCTTTGCTATGGTTGTTGTAATTCAAAGTATATTAGGGGAATCTTTTTTGGCTTCTTTAATGTTGACATTTGGGAGCCAAGACCTCTGACAGATATATTTGCTCGTTGGCCTTCATTAAGAGGAAATAACAAGGTGAAGATTGCTTGGAGTTTATGTGCCTTTTGCCATCTGTTGGGTAATCTGGAAGGAGCGAGATAGAAGAATTTTTGAAGACAAAAGCTTGAGGAAGAGACCAAGTTGCTTTGACTTCTGGAAAAAGAATTGTAGATTATTGGATTCTCATTTTACCAGAATTTGGAGGGATCTCAAAGGAATCCCTTGGAAATGTCTTATGGTCCTTATTTGATTTGACTCCAAGGAATTGAAGTCTTGTTTATGCTTTGTTTGACTATTTCTTGTATCTCTTATAAGTTTGATCTGTTATTGTCTAGTGATCCCTCATCACCTCTTTTGATGTACTCTTTTTTCTATTATTAATAAATTTTTCTCTTTTATTTATTATCAGATGTGGGTCCATTAGGTTTTTGTCTATCCATATGGTGTGCAATGATTCATTTGAATCACAAGGGATTCAAATGAAGGTTCCATGATTATTCTATAATCTATATATAGTGTGCAAAGAAGGTTCCATGATTGTTCTAGAATCTTATATATTCTTTATCAAAGTCTAAAAGCAAAGTTTAAAGATTTCATATTTACATGGAAAAGAATTGAAAGAAATTTAAATCATGCCTACCTTCAAAACAAGCTCCTCAAAGCATTGGTTCACATTAACTCTTGTTTTAGCACTACATTCAATAAAAAGGCACCCATGTTCCCTTACAAATTCAATTCCCTCTTTCTTTGTGACAACCTTTCACTTTCTTAGCAAATAAGGAAAAAACACACACAACACACAAAAATCCAATTTGTATCATCACATCTTAATGCTGCATATCACCACGATAATATTTTCCAAAAAAAAGAACAAATAGATATACAGAAAAAAAAATCTCATAATTACTTTCTTAATGCTTATCCAAAAATTCTTATCATCAGCCTGCCATTTGAAATCTCGGTAAAAGGATAAGCTTTTAACCAATAAATTTCAAGCAGTACCTTATCTACTTTGTTTCCAACCAGTATCTTAATGCAATCTTGATTTGTTGAATAGCGATCAATTTCCTTTGCCCATACATCAGAAAGGATTGTAAATATTTCCTGTTGCATCCCGTCATAAACTGTAGCAACAAAAATAATACAATTACAGGTTTTTCTTAAAAATTTCCAAGTTGCAATTGGCTTATACTTAAAGGATATATGTTATATCTGTTGCATGCATAGAAAACGTGCAAAAAGGTTGCCTCCAAAAGTCGAATAAAAAAGTATTTCATCCACATAGACCTGAAGGATCATGGACACTTCACATCAACTTATGGGCTTAACCAAGGTAGTCTTGGATGTCATATTCATCAAGTTCAGTATAGAACAAACTTTGGCAAGGTGTCAACTGGTTGTTGGTAAGGTCTCTGGCTGGTTGTAGTGGAGACTTGGGATCGAATTCCTCCTGCACCAGGGTTGGGGGAGCAGTTATGGGTTTGGGGGATGGGCTAGCCCCATGAAGCAGAGAGAGAGAGAGAGAGAGAGAGAGAGAGCAGTTATGGGTTTCATCTTATGCTGCTCAATGATCAGATCAAACTTGACGATGTTCCAACATCATTTTCAGTGACTTGGTTGGAATGGAATGAAACATTAATTACTTTTTTTTGGGAACAACCGAGTAAAAGTGGAAGCTTAAAGGCTTGGAGGAAAAAACAACAGACAAGCTTCAACTTCAACTTCATTGTTTTCCCATGTACAAACTTTCTGCCATACCCTAGTGGCTAGTAGGCTATAATTGGATCATGATTCATCCAAATCCGACCAAATTAGCAACAACTGAAATCTGAATCCAATTTGAAATTGATTGGATCCAGATTGGGTTTTGGATTTCCAGAGTCCATTGACAACCCTAGTGGTTTATAAGACATGTGGTTAATGATAATTTATCAGCCCTTTAGGGGATAAAATTAAATAATAGAAAGCCCATTATTTAAGTTTATTGCCATCATGTTTCCCAGAATCAGAAGTTGATACACTTCTGAAAATCAACACATCAAAAATTGTCAGAACTCATGTTTTAAGATTTCATTCATATAGTTGGGTCAAGTGAACATCCAAATAGATGCATCAATACTTTGAACTATCCTGGATTCAGTAGATACTAGATACATGATATGATGCATTGTACTCAACTTGGAAAGGCCTGAGTAGTGGTAGGGAATTTAAACTCTAATTAAAATGTATTCAAGATCATAATGCAGCAAAAAGAAAGAGTGCTAAAGACAACTACTATTATTTCACATATTCTGTCCTTAGAATTAGTGTATATCCTTGAACCAAAACATGGATACATGGATGACCACAAAGTGGTGTATGACATAAAACAAATATATAGGAAAAGCAAGACAAAGAAAATAGAAATAATATTTAATAAGTAAATGGACTTTTCATATATAGAGGAAATAATGCAAGAGAAGGAAATAAAATATCCATAATGATCCCTCATGCTCCTCTATAGTATGAGCTTGTTAATGTTATGAATCTCTCCTGCCCAGCTGCATGAAGAAATAAAAGATAAACTTCGTTATACAGTGATAAATAGCCTTTTCTGCCTTCAGAGGAAGGCCTAGTTGAAAATGGGGACATGCATTTTTTGCATTTTGGTCACATGAAAAGAAAAATAAGAAAGCAATATCATCTAACAAGTAGTTCAGATTATCATGTTTGATCAAGAAACTTTATTTATTTAGCAAATAGTCTAAAAACGATCTTGAGGAATATTTTCTGACAGGACATGACCAACAATTGGGTTTTACCATTTACTAAGCCAATTTGAGGTGGACCCCTAAAAGTTGTATTCTCATCTGTATTTCTCATACTTTCAGAGCTGGCAGAGTCATCTAATCTGTTAATATATCTATGATTTTTTTTTTTTTTTTTTTTTGTGTAGCCCTTCAAAAGAAATAAAAATAAGCTATGTGATATTTTCTCTCATATTTTCTATACTTTAACAATGTTATTTTAAAAACTTACTCAAAGACTACAGAAAGAGAAAGGTAGTGATATATTAATGATCTACTTCCTCTTTTTCTTCCATATACTTAACCACAAGTTATTGTTCCAACTCACAAGATGTATGAGGAGGTACACCCTACATCTAATTACATCATGTAGAGAGCAATATGGTGCTTTGTATCAAGGTTTATAAACTTCAAAACACAAAGCTGGAAAACCTTTTTTTTTTCAGTGGTGAAGAAACCACATGCTCTATAAGTTAAGGATGACCATAAAGAATTCTGTAAATGAAAAAACAAAGTATGCAAGGAAACAGACAGCAATAAACCATGAGCAGAAAGCATTTACCTGTGTCCCATATTGCAAGCTTCAACCTTTTTCCTCCAAGGTTGACTAGTTTCACCTACTGAAATCAGAAGAGAAAAGAAAGTGCAAATTAGGGTATGACAGAAATAAGGCAACAAACAAAAGAAATGATCCATATAATTAAAAGAGCCAACTAAAACTTCTCATTTCATTGCTTAACTAATCAAATAATATGGAAGACTGATGCACATAGAATAGAGAACTATGCTGTTCATATTGAGATTATTTTTGGGAAATAGATTAAATGCAAAGCTAACATGTACACATCTAATCAAAACCGAAGTACCAAACAGGTATCAAACTGCAAATACTGAATACAAGTAACATCAATTGGAGCTTTCTTCCCCCTGGACATCCATGACGTGCCCTCAATAGAGAAATATGAAGTTGATATAGAGATTATTTTTGGGAAATGGACTAAATCCAAACCTAACATGTAGACATCCAGTCATAACCAAACAGGTATCAAACTGCAAAATACTGAATACAAGTAATATCAATTGGAATTTTCTTCCCCTTGGACATCGATGATGTGCCCTCATCATACTAATATAAGCTAATTTATTGATCTCACAAATAAAAAATAACAATGTTATTTGTTAAAATAGCTACAGGCACAGATTTGATATTCATGTCTCCTGGCAAGCCTGATACAGTGACAATACCAATTTAGTTGGATTTAATATGTTGCATTTGGCTTTTTTTGAATAGTAACAAAAAACCAAAGGTGATGTAATTAATAAGTAATAGATAAGAGGTATATCCTACATAATAATTACATCATATGAGAGGGCCAAGGCAGCAGCCACAGACAAGGCACGTTAAAACAACTAAAAGATGACTGATGAAGGTAAGTAAAATTCTCTCTTGCTAGGCTATTTGTCACAGAATTTTCTGTAGGGGTCTATCTGAATGAGCTGTTAAGCTTGAGGCCAGCCATCTAGCTTCATGTAGTTTTCCCAAAAAGGAGGCGGGCGGGGTAAAAGGTGTTGTATCAACATTTTTTTTTCTCAAGGGTGCAAATCAGGTACCCGATGTAGACCTGGCAATCAGTTGAATCAAGTCAGGTTGAGTCAGATCAAGGCAATTTTGAGGTCATTTCAGGTGGGGTCATCTTTCGGTTGGGTCAGCAAAGGCTAGATCCTAACCCTAAATATTCAGGTTAGGGTTGACCTACAGGTCAGATGGGTCAATGGTTCAATCACCTGGGCCAGATGATCTTTGACCATGTCAATGGTTTTTACCAAAAATACAGGTTTAAATATTTAATTGCCCAGATCAAATGGTTTGAACGGTTCAACTGTCCAGGTCAACATCAGTTTGAAAATGTTGGTATGCAAATAGGTGACCCAATGGTGACCTATGACCCAACCCAACCCGACCCGAATTCTTTTTGGATCAGGTCGGGTCCAGTGACTCCAGTCAGACTGGCTTTGGGTTGCTGCATAGGGGACCCTAGCCCGCTTCTTTCAGGATGGGTTAACTTTTTGCAAGTGTAAACCCTATATGAAGAATTTCCACAGCATTAAGTCTGGGCCTTGGGTTGGGCCCCCTTCAAAATTTAACAAATCCTCAAGACCTCAACTCAGCAGGCTCAATATGCAATCCTATTTTTCTTTCTACAACTACAAGGCATATAGACCAAATTTCCAAGAGATGTAAAGGGAATCACATAACAAGGGAAAACATGGCCATACAGAAACTTGAGATAAATACTATGAAGGTCACTTATGAGGTTTCTTGGTTGTAGAAGTAAAGAATGAAAGTGTCTCCAAGAATGAAACATCATCCACCCACTTGTCGTGTTGCAATGCTATTACTTATATTTCACATTAGGCTCTTGTTTTCAAAGGGTTGGTATCAACCAACCACATGTTTGCACTAAAGGGTTTGCTCATCTCCACATCCTTGACCAAAAAAGCAATTAAAAATAGTTTATCAGAGTTTCATCACTGGAATAGATACTTGCACTGATAATCCAAATCTTATGAGTTAGTCGTTAAGCCAAAAAATTTTCCAAGTACTAGAATCACACTCACTAGAATCCTGACTCTTATTTAAATTAAAATCACTTTGCTCTCAATATACACAAAGGTGAGATAAAGACAGACATGATATGGATTTTATATGTATCTAAAAGAAATCAGACCATGAAATATTAATGTTCAGATTTCTCATATGAACCCCCATGCCAAATTGCCACTAGTCATTGCAGAGACTTACATTATTCTGTCCCTAGATTCCATATCTTTCATAGCAAAAGGAACAGAAGAGTTTTCAAATTGAAAAATCTCAACTATACTATATTCTACATTTGATAATGGTGAAAACTTTTCTTGCACCCTCTGTACATCAGAATGAACACAGCTTTCGGGGGTGGGAGTGACGAACCTTTTCTTCACTGCTAATAAGAGCCACTACCCATAACAAATGTTGGTCCTGACTTGATGCCAAGGAGACTAGGACCCTTTTCTTAATGATACATGAGGAGACCAGCTCCCACACGCTATTCTTAGTTTAGTGAGCATTGATTCTTGGGGTTGTAGGCCAGCTGCCTTCATCTCATACAGAAACTTGATAGCATCATTATAGAAGCCATGTTGTAAGTAGCCAATAAACATGGCATTCCAACATACATCATTTCTCTCGTTGCCGATCATTTCAAAGACCCTTCTAGCATCCCTCAGCAGCCCTTGTCTCCCATACATGTCAACCAAACTGCTCTGCACAAATAGATCCATTTCAACCCCGAGTTTGATGGTACTGGCATGAACCTGCTTACCGCATTGCCCATAATCCCTCACCCTTCCACTTGCCCGGAGAACAGTCGAGAATGTAAAATTATTCTTACTTGCACCTGCTCTCCCCATTTCCTTGAAGATATCAAGGACTTCATCAAACTGCCCCTCTCTACTGTAGCCAGTAATTATGTCATTCCAAAGCACAGTGTCACGACGATTAGCTCCATTAAAGACAAATTGTGCATCTTCTAGGCATTTGAACTTCCGATAGAAATTGATGAGAGCGCTGCAGAAAAACAAATTCTTGTGATACCCGACCTTAAATATCCACCCATGTATTTGTTTCCCCAGTCCAAATTCCCCAATGTGGACGCATGCCTTGAAGATGCTGACAATAATCAAATCAGTGAACTCCAACCCACTTCCCTGTTGCATTTCCAGGAACAAGCTTATCGCTTCTTTACAGTCACCATGGTTCACATAACCAGCAATTAGCGTTGCCCACGAGATGGAGTCTCTAATTGTCATTTTATCGAAGACCTTACGAGCATCATCTAAACGACTGCACGCCACGTACATCAGAAGTAGGCGGTTAGCTAAGGGTAAACCTGGGCGGAAGCCACTTCGGTTCATGTGGGCGTGCACCTCAGCACCTCTAGTCGCGTCTCTGGCATCTGTACATTCTTTTAAGAGAGAAGCATAGATATCGGCTGGTATGCGGAGATGCAGGCTATCCATCAGGCATAAAACGTCGGTGGTGGTGGTAGTAGTGCTCCTACTCCGGTGCTGGTTTAATTTGATCTCGACGTTGGATGGGCAGGGGATCTTCCGACTGGGGCGTTGAATCGCTGGGTATTGAATTGGAGTGGTTGGTGGAATACTGCTTCTCTGCAAGCAACAACTACATACACACTTGGAAGGAAGCCATGGGATAACTTTCAAAGATGTTGGGATAATTGCCATTTTATTTTGAGATTATAGAGTTTTAGCGAATTAAATCTCTTTGTGTCTCCGAAGGAGACCCAAAAATCCGAGTTCGGCAAATTTATGGACCAGGCCACCACAGAAAAATTTATCTGCGGAAGCAACGTACAACGTACATAAATAGAAGCCAAATTTAAACTTTCTGATAATTGTCTAAAATCTCTTTTTTTCGTCACACTTTGTTACATGCGACATTACGTGACTAATTGGGAAAAGTACAAATTCTGAATTATAGCCACCATAATCTACGTAGAAGTCCCTTCTATTAATGTATTCTGTCCGTGAAAGGTCCAGATTTATTCCCTGTACGGTGAAACTAAAGAATTCTAAGTTGGGCTGATTCATCATCCTCAACCTTAAGACTAAGAGTAGAGCAACAAGACACGGACCGCGAGGTCGACCCGCTTATGCTCTCTGTTATCTGTTATTTACAGCAGCCCAGATATTGCTCCCTACAAACCCGGTTCCTACGATAGACACCGTCCTGACCGTCACTGGGCCTTGCATCAGTGGTCCACTTCCATTTCCAGAAAAGGTGAGCATTTCTCCACCACCTCTTCTTCTTCTTGCTCTTTTTCTCATTCCCTCTCTCTGGATCCCCTCTAAAACCATGCAAGAGATCTCTAACAAAATGAAACTCCAAGAAATTATACAAAAATACCACCAAAACAAATAGAGATCCCAATAAATGGTGCGAAATCGGTATCGGCAACGCCGCTTGCAGCAAAAGTTCCAAAGCGAAAACAGGAACCTCTGTTGAATTCGGAACTCCATAGCCAAAGTACCACCAAAACAAATAGAGATCCCAATACATAGTGCAAAATCGGTATCATCAACGCCACTTGCAGCAGAAGTTCCACGGCGGAAATAGGGACCTCTGTTGAATTCCGGAACTCCATAGCCACCTCGAACGATCACGAGAACTCAAAACATGAAAATCCCAGATTTCTAATTTGTTGGGTCTGGTTTACCCACTCTCGCTTTTCTGATTTGGGTTTCTTGCAATTCTGGTGCCGGGATCCCTCTCTCTCTCGAAAGAGGTATCTTTCTTTCCCTCTCATTCCCTCTCTCTTCTTTCACAATGGTGTCAATGCTGAACACCCTTGAAGAAACTGAAAGTTCCTCTGGTAGTTGTATCTAAGCTCTGGATCAATTTCTGCAAGCAACTTGTTATCGTCTTCAGTGGATTTCGAAGAGAGAGAATTCTTACGAGGAACGAGATACATGGTAGGAGTCATCCCCGGCTGGTTTGTGAGCAGTAATCTAGAAGTATCACTTGAGTTGACTCAGGAAGTCAAAAACAGGAGACCCATTGTCGTTGGAATTCTTGAGCCCAACCTTGTTGTCATCCCTTCGATGGTGATGATTTCACTCTCACTGCACGCCTCCTTTGTCGAATTCGTCGGGCTTCTAACTCTGTACGACAACCTCGCTGTGATAGGAAACACAGCGTCGCTGCTCCTCCAAAATGAGACATAAAGAAGAGATGGTGAAAACGACAATGATCATATAAACCGGGAACTAGCGAAGTCCAAGAAGAGCAACAATTGAGTTTCTGAAGAACATGAAAAACCCTGTGGGCAAATTCAACATTTTAGTTTTTTCCCTTACCATTTAACATGCAACAATTCTTAGAAATAGTAGAGATACTTTTAAGACAATTCTTATATAGTAGCCTATCTCCCAAACCCATAAATTGCCCCAATCCGTTACAATCAAATAGATTAGATTCCAAACATATCCTAACTATATCTTCTACGTTTAAAAAGAAAATTTGGATTTTCTACTCATTGAACATTCCTCACATCATTTGGAGCTGCACATCTGGAACATCTTGTACTTGTAAGATATCAATCATGCATAGATGTTTCTAATGCACAACTGCAATATGTTGTGAGTAGAGCCGTAAAACAGGTCGTGTTGGGCTGGCATGGCATGGCCCCTCCCTCCCCTGGGATATTTTGGGGGGTTGTCCTTGCACGGCCCACGGCTCGAGCCCGTGCAGGCCCATGTCGTACCATGCCGTGCCACAGGCCAAAGCTATTTATTTAAACAAATTGAAAATAAAATCTTAAAATGCTTATTTTATATGAATTTTAATGTATAAAATTGTTTATATATAATAATAATTAAATAAAATAGTATAATAAAACTGAAAAATTTGTTTATTTTATTAATATGTTATATACTATATATTATTATATAATTATAATTTATATAATATATAATATTATATGTATGTATATGGGTCGTGCCACAGGCTAGCATGACCCGATTTACACCTTTAGTTATGAGGTTGGTGTGAGGCACACTCTATGAGGAGCAAATCCAAATTCATTTAAAGAATACTATGAAGTATCCTTTGGTTTTCTAATAATAGGATAAATATATCCTTCCGTTAGCACACCGATTGCATTCTATTCACATGGAACAATATGTGACCCTTATAATATTTTAAAAACCTAATTTTACCCTCTATTCTTCTCCATCGATTTAAACAAGAGAAGTTCATGAAGATGGTATGAAATCTTACCTAAAGAAGAAGACCAACAAGCCTATGGATCTCAATGAACACCTACCTTTCAGGTTAGGTTAAATGGAGGCTTGGGTCTCACTATTGAGCAAGATTTAGCTGAATGCTTTGGCTGTTTAGTGGGCTATGAACCAATGATAAGGTTTGACGCCAATAATAAAATAAATGGGGCCTATGAATTTATTATTGACATAAAACCTCATCATTGGTTCCACAGCCCACTGAACAGCCAAACGTTCAACTAATCTGAATTCCTCACTACTAGCCTTTGTCTTCTCATTTGTAAGATGCATTCACTAAAAGTTCTTTTGGGCTTCGACAATTGATACACGAAATATGACAAGTACAATCTTAGCCAATAGCCATCAAGGCTATTGATGAATATTACTCTATTAAATTTCTTTCTTACCTCTACAAAGCCAACACAATCCACTAGCTTTAAACTACCCATTGAAGTGGTCAATTGAATTTGATTACTCTAGTACCTTTGCATTGAGAACACAATATTGTACCATTCTCAGGAATAGGGGTCTGAGACTGGAATTGGAATGGCTTATTTCGATTCTAACCATTTGGTTGGGCACAATCGAAATCCAATTCGATCCCATTCTTTGTGCCTTACTGCCTTTTTGAGGGAATGGGCAGTTGCAAACCAAAGGATGATGAAACCATGGAGATTCAGCCCATGAAGGAATGACAATGCTATAAATAGAGCCTTTGGTTTTGAAAAAGCAGAGGTTGATGGAGCCTCTGGTTTCTAGATGCATAATCATGAAGCCTCACTTGGGTAGTTGCAAAGCTCTATAATTAGAGCCACAAACTCCTAGTTCTTCTATTAAGTAAGAAGCAACCAATTCTTAAGAAAAGGAGTTTCCAGTTCCATTTTTGGGTTTGCGGTTTAGTTGAGAGAGAGAAGCTCTCCAGTTCCATTTTTGGGTATAAAAGAGAAGAAAAGAAGAGGAAGCTCAAGAAGAGATTCCAACGCTCTCAGACGTTTGCAAGGAGCCATGGACGCTACTTTTGCTTCAAACGTTCAAGGTCGGTCTCAGTTTATTTCAAGTCATTTTAGAGCTTATAATGATCCTTTCATGCTTCAGTATATTAGAAATCGATATAAATGCTAACATTATACACCACCAATGTGGGTTGATGGGATACCGATGCCTCGATTACAAATCATACTCTTTTGTCTTGGTGTGAGTATGTTCCTAAGATAATCAGGTTTAAATTCCTTGACAAATCTATGAAATATCTAAGTAAATTAGGACTATTAACCAATGCCACCAACGGTCAAGAGGTTCTTTGGGTCAATGTTTCAAAATTCCCAAAATATTAGATTTCAATTGGTTAAGGTTGTGTAAGCAGTCATTACATTCTTGAACATGTATCAATAATTGTTAGTCTAATCGTTTTTAACCTTTGCCAATTCACCTATTATATAATTCTAGTATCTATCTCAAACCTGGGAATCTTTGAAAAAATTTTAGGATAACATTATCTCTTCTATTGAATTTCGTCTTATTAATTATAGTTCAGGAGTAGCAACTTTAGATACTTGAAGAAAAACAAAAATAGTAAGAACAATAGGTCCCTCTGCAAATACACGTGAAATGATATGGAAATAAAGAATTGATTCTAGGAATAGGGTGATGTTGAATGTGATTCTGATTTTTAAGAAACATGAATCAGATGACTTATCAAATACATCTGCAGATTCCTAGGTTGGATGGATTTTGAGAATGGGAATTTCTAGAATTGAACCGGGCCTTAAAAGTTGGTGGAGATTGGAGAAGAACAAAAACCAGGGCATATTTGGTTCGGTGGCTTCTAGTAATAGAACTGATTCATTGAGTACCCATGGTTGCAATTGCCTCTGTTGGAGTCATGCTCTAATGTGCCAAGCCATAAGCCACCTCCTTAACAATGTGTGGTGAAGCTTATACAATTTTCAGAGTTTGAGACCAATATCTCTTAGTGGGTAATCAAGGAATCATTGACTTTCTAGATAGACATTTTCTGTGTTTCGAAAATTTGAAAAATAATAAGGGGCGAATTAGACATTTGTGCACTTCCATTAAGAGATAACAACAATGTCTTATTTCTTGAAAATTGAAGAGTACTGCTAGAGAATAAAAACCTAAGGGATTTGGTGTAACAGTTTAAGCTTTTAGGTTGAATAGTTCCTTGAAATAGTAATAGAGAGCCTATTTGACCCAAGTTATCTAATTTTCCCTTATATTGCCCTCGTTATAATTAATTAAATTTCAGCAGAAGGTATGAATGGCCTATGCTTGTCCACACTTCAATTCCAGTGGACTTTCACATGAGGGGACGCTAGAGAATAAAACCCTATTCAGGACCTCTCCTAATGGCTTAAGCTTTTAGGTCAAATGGTTCCTTGAGAAGTGCTTTAAGGTATTCTTTAAATATACAGGTATGCTTGGTCCAATCTGAAAAAAAAATTATATTTAACCTCAGCCAAATGTATTTATATGTAAATAATTGAGGAAAATGTCAAAAACTATGCTGCCAAAAAAAAATGATAAAATGATAAATACTAAAAGAAGGGCTTTGTCCAATCAAACTCCCCCCGCCCCGAATTTTATAAATAACCACCTGATTGATTACCAGATCAGTTACAATTGACCGACAATGAATACAAAAAATAAAATTATTTATTTTATAATTAGCATAAGAAACCAATGCGTCTCTGATCAATACCCCCTCCAAAGTCTTATTCCCACAATCTTTATAGTTAATAGATTCTATAGTGCTGGC